TGGCTCCTCTGCCAGTTGCTTTATGAAGATTTTCCCCTCTACATCCTACCCCCCCCCTCTCCTTTCCTGACTCTTTCTGGCCCTGGGAGATCTCAGCTGGGTTCTGGGGCTTGAGGCGTCCCCGTCTCACACTGGTTTGTTCCTGGCAGCGCAAGCACCAGGAGATTCGAGCCATGAGAAGTCAGCTGAAGAAAATTGAGGACCTGGGGGCTGCCATGGAGGAAGCCCTCATCCTGGACAACAAGTACACTGAACACAGCACTGTGGGCCTGGCCCAGCAGTGGGACCAGCTGGACCAGCTGGGCATGCGCATGCAGCACAACCTGGAGCAGCAGATCCAGGCCAGGTACCAGGGTCCAGGACAGGGTGCGGGACCACCCAGGGTACAGCTGTCAACAAGGGGCTGGCACAGGAGGGAAGAAGATGTCACCTCTGCACGGAAGGCCTGCTCCCTACTTCTGTTCTTCTTCTAGGAACACAACAGGCGTGACCGAGGAGGCCCTCAAGGAATTCAGCATGATGTTCAAGTGAGTATGGCCCAGGTACTTTGACCAAGGGTGGATGGGAGGCAGGGACCATATGCTGAGCCCTGGGCTTTGTTCTACAGACACTTTGACAAAGACAAGTCTGGCCGGCTGAACCATCAGGAATTCAAATCCTGTCTTCGTTCCCTGGGCTACGACCTGCCAATGGTAGAGGAAGGAGAGCCTGACCCCGAGTTTGAAGCAATCCTGGACACCGTTGACCCCAACAGGTAAGCTGAAGGGAAAGGGGACAGGACAGTCTTCGCCTCCCTCTGAGCACCCTGCTCATTGTGCCTGCCTCCTGTAGGGATGGTCATGTCTCCCTGCAAGAATACATGGCTTTCATGATCAGCCGCGAAACGGAGAATGTCAAGTCCAGTGAAGAGATTGAGAGTGCTTTCCGGGCCCTCAGCTCTGAGGGCAAGCCGTACGTGACTAAGGAGGAGCTCTACCAGGTAGGACCTTGGGAAGGGCACCCCACACACAGTCAGGAAGCCTGTGTCTGCTGGCTGATCCGGCCTGGCCCAACAACCCCTTACCTATGGGCACTTGTCATGGTTGAGCTGACCATACCACCTCTCCTCCAGAACCTGACCCGGGAACAAGCCGACTACTGCGTCTCCCACATGAAGCCCTATGTGGATGGCAAAGGCCGTGAACTCCCCACTGCCTTCGACTACGTCGAGTTCACCCGCTCACTCTTTGTGAATTGACCCTTGGCTCGGAGGTGAGCCTGACCCGCATTGCCTGCCCTGCCCTGCTGTCACCTTGCTGCATGTCACGTCCTCTGTGCTTTCAAGGAAAATATTCCAGACAATGATGCTTTCCAGTGTAACCGTAGGCCTGCTTAGCTTGGGGTAAGACTTGGTAGAAAATGGTGCTTCAGTAAAACGCTTACAGTCCAATCACAATCGCCAAGTTGCTGTGGGACCCAAACCCTGCACAGCCAGCTGCCCTCATTCCCACTTAAAATCAAAGCAGCTGGTTCATCTTCTTTATTCTCTCTCCTCCCTCCCCAAATTGTTTTCATGTAAAAGACAAATAAAGGACTCAGTTCTCCCCCTAAAAACTTTTGTTCCTCTTTATTCAACTTGGGACACCACATCCCTGCTGCTCCTTGTGGCCCTCAGGTAGCTACTTCCGCTTCCAGTTGATCCAAGTCCTCCGTCTCCCTGGGCCCTTGTTCCGTGAAGGCTGTGCTCAGCCGCCACACCTTCACCGTGCCCTTGGCATCACCAGCAGCTAAGAGCTGAGTCTGCTGGCTGTTAAACTCAAGACAGTAGACAGGACTGCCATCGTGGGTTTGTGTTATGGAAACTGTGGGTTTCTGTGAGCTTCTCTGGAGGTCAAACAGTTGTACATCACCTGCAGGGGAAAGGTCCAGAAAAGAGAACCACAGCTGGGAGAGGCTGTGGCCTGTACTTTTCCTGTGTGCCTTGTGGTGGGTGCCAGTAGCGGGATAAAAACCATCCTCACCACGTGACCCCTGCACTTAAGACAGGCCTTGTGGCTCTTGCGTACCTTCCCCAGAAGCAGCAGCAAAGACCAAAGGGCGCACAGGGGACCAGCGCACGGCAAACAGGTACTTGTGAGAGAGCTGCAGTGAGGTCAGGGGCTGGGCCTGCAGCATGGAGTACAGGTGGACATGGCCATCGGTCCCAGCACTCAGGAAGAGATTCCTAGACAGTGCAGAAAAGGGCGTCTACATGGTGCTGCCACCATCACCTCCTTGGCCGTCTACCTGTAGGAAATGGGGCAGGTCCTGGGACCAACTACCAAAGTGCAAAGAATCAGAATGCTAGTGTTAAAGCCTGCGGCAGGGCCGCTTTCCCTGTGCCTGAGTGGCAAGCCCAGGCTGATGCCCCTACCTGTGGAAGGGAGAACAGCTCACAGAGTACACAGGGCCACCATGGGGAGAGAAGGTGAACTGCACCGGGGCCCTGAGGGGCACAGAGCTGGGTATCCGAGTGAGGGCAGCTGTCTCTGCTGCCAGGGAACACTTGAGGGGAAAGCCACCTTCTGTGCCCAGAACGAAAAGGCTGGAGTCGAAGCTGGAGAAGGCCACTGATGTCACCCCCACCTCGGTCTCTCCACGGGGCGGCTGTGGGAAAGTGGCAGTGACAGTAAGTCCTGACAGCCAGCGGGCAAAGGGAAGAACACCAACAGGCTCCCAGAGCCCAGCTTCCTTGAGCCCGGGTCCTTACCTTCTTCAGTTTGGTGCTCCGAGGCAGCTGCTGCACGGCCAGAGCAAAGCCCTTGGAGAGCCGCAGCTGCCCGGTGCCACTGCCCCTCCAGAGCAGCACCCGCCCATCAGTGGCTGCACTCAGCACCTGGAAGCGGTGGCTGTGCCGGGGTTCAGGCAGCCACAGTACCTGAGGTGACGACAGAGCACAGGCAGAATGGAGGGAGTGTCCCCAGGGTCAGCCTCACCTGCATCTGTGTCCCTTCCTTCTCCAGGCCACCTGTGTGGGAGGCTGAGAAGAGCCTGTGCCCTAGAGGGCACCCAGTGGGGAGCTGACTCAGACTGGCGCTCCAGGAATGCCCAGGCAGCTGTCTAACCACCAACTCCTTGAAGCAGCTGATGCTAGCGCCCCCCACAAGGGTGTGGGAGTGGCTCCTGACCTGATAGACAGGGTCTGTGTGGGTGTCATCAGTCAGACCTGTGCGCCAAAGCAGCGGGTCCTCAGGGCGGCCCACGTCCCACACCAGCACTTCGCCACTGTACAGCCCCCCTATGGGGACAGGATCACATCAGCCACACCCAGCAACCCCTTCGTGCCATGCAGTCAGAACAAAGGCCTCTTGTGAGGATTTCCTGAGGGGAAACCCAAACTCAGTCTCCTTGCTGTGCCTCAGGGCCCATGCCCAGTAACCTATCCCTCCAGCAGGGGCATCCGCTGTCAGCACTGAGGGGAGCCCACCTCTTTATCCCCCTTTTCTCATCCTGCCTCTTGCACAGCCAGACTCAGCCCCTTCCAAATGACTCCTTCGTCCAAGCAGGCAGATTATCCCCAGCTACAGACAAGCCAGAGGGCCAGGACCCCCTCACCGACTCCCAGGTGTCCTGCTCTGACCAGAAGCCTGTAGCTGGGTGGGAAGCAGAACCTTGGGAAGAGAGGAGGCTGGGGAGGGCTCAGCACTTACCTGCAATGTGTGAGGGCTGTGTGGGATGAAAGGCCAGGCACATGACGGCACTGGGCACCTCCACCACTACTGATGGCTGCTGGGGGTTCAGGCCTTGCCGGTCCAGGTTCCAGGTACACACATAGGACTTGAGCGTGCTCCAGTCCCCATCATCTAGCCTGCACGAGGACATGCCTGAGTGTCCTCTGGGCTCCCATCACCTCTGCTCCGCTAACCCCCATAAAAATGAGCCTGTGTCCCCTTCATGCCCAGACGCTGTACGATGGGTATATTCACAAGTTCCTCTGGCACTGAAAGGCGCAGGTGTGAAGTCACTTCAGGTCCCTGTCTGTATCCCAGGGTGTTACATGTGTAACATGTAGACAACACTACTCCATGCAGATTGTCCTGGAGCTGGTCAATAGCCCGCTGTGAGCAGAGGACACTTGGAAAGCTGAGACAAGATAGAGACCAATGCCATCCTGAGCTACATAGTGAGACCCCACAATAGGGAGAAGGTCCTCAGACCCCAAGTGTGCAACTATGCATTAGTGGATGGGACCACAGAGCATCCAGCAACAGACACCAGAGTAAAGGCTGGTGGCCAGCATGAGCCCAGGGCTGACTGCCAGGTAGGTAGACTTGAGGCATGGGCTCTCAGCCCTTCCTTCTGCTCTTGACCGAACCCTTTACCCTGAAGCTAATGAAACAGAGGCCCAAACAAGTCTTGGGACCTCCATTATTTCCCACCCACCCCAGCTGTCACTCACCGGCCGTAGGCACAGGCCAGCACAGAGCCTGTGGCATTCCAGGAAATGCTGGTCACGTGCAGACCTTGCCCTTGGGCTGGGGGATAGACCAGGGTGTGCAAACAGGACACCTGCAGAGACAGACCATTCCTAGCCCTAAATACTAAATCCATCTAGTAAGTGGTTCTCAACCTGTGGGTCACGACCCCCAAAGGGGTCAAATGACCCTTTTACAGGGGTTGCCTAAGACCACAGGAAAACATAGATATTTACATTACAATTCATATCTAGCAAAATTACAGTTATGAACAGCAATAAAACTACTGTAGGGTTGGGGTCAGCACAACGTGAAGAGCTGTGATGGCGAGCACGTATCGGGAAGGGGGAGAAGCACTGCTCCAGGCAGCAGAGGAAAATCACAGCCACACCCAGGCAGCCCAAGGCCTACAAGCTAGCAACAGACAGAGGAAAATGCAGACTAAAATCTGGGCATGGGGTTCATCACTATAATCCCAGCACTTGGGAGGCTGAGGCAGGAGGATCGCATGAGATCTAGCCAAGCTTGAGCCATACGGTGCCAACCAGGTCGGGTTCTTTTTTTTTTTTTTTTTTAAGATTTATTTATTATGTACACAGTGTTCAGCCTCCATGCCTGCAGGCCAGAAGAGGGCACCAGATCCCATTACAGATGGTTGTGAGCCACCATGTGGTTGCTGGGAATTGAACTCAGGACCTTTGGAAGAGCAGTCAGTGCTCTTAACCTCTGAGCCATCTCTCCAGCCCCCAGGTCAGCTTCTTAACAGTACCCTGTATCAACACACACACCCTCCCCCAAAGACAGAATAGACAGCCTTCACCTGCCGTCAGTGCAGGCGCTTTCAGAGCCTTGGAAGGCGCCTGAGAAACACAGTTGATGCAGCCACAAGCTCAGCTCAGCACATGGAGCAAAAGCTACAAGCAAAAACATGGTAACGGCTGCACACAGAGAAATGCATTCCACCCCACAGCCTCACACCTAAAGAAGGCTGGCATGGGGAGGCTAGAGAGATGGCTCAGCGGTTAAGAGCACTGTCTGCTCTTCCAAAGGTCCTGAGTTCAATTCCTGGCAACCACATGGTGGCTCACAACCATCTGTAATGAGGTCTGGTGTCCTCTTCTGGCCTGCAAGCATACATGCAGACAGAATATTATTATACATAATAAATAAATATTTAAAAAAAAAAGAAGGCTGGCATGCCAATCTTATTGTGGGCTGTTAGACACCAGGTGGGGAAAGAGCTTTTCAGGCAGTGTCTCAATATATACCCCAGTCTAGCCTCAAACTCATGGCAATCCTGCTTCAGCCTCGTGCTGGGATTGCAGATGTGGGCCAACCAACATGGCTGGCTTCACTCCCTATCTCCCCAAATCAAGGCTTTTTTGGAATCTTGATTTGGAGTCTTTCCTAGCAGGTGGGAGCAGCAAAGGAGATGGTCCAGTCCCAATGGATGGGGGGGGGGCGGTTGCCTAGCAGCGGGGTATCAAAACTCTGGTGTAAAACTCCACACCTCCTGATCCCATGACTGAACCAAAGCAAAAGCCTAGCCCTGCAAAAAGCCTTCAGGAACACACACCCACTGCCGCTGACGTGCAAGAGTGTGGAAATGCTGAAGGCCCCCAAAGGCCACATAGCAAGAGATCCCAGTCATACAGACCAGACAGAGACACCAGGAGCAGAGACCTACCAGTGTGGTGATGCAAGCCTGCTACCCCAATATTATTCAGGAGGCTGAGGCAGGTGGAGTGCCAAGACTTTGAAGTCAGCCTGGGCTACAGAAGTAGGTCAGTCTCTAAATTCAAGGCCAGCCTGATCTGCACAGTGAGTTCCAGACTAGCCAGAATTACCAGAGCGATACAGTGAGATCCTGTTGTTCTTTTTCTTCTTCTGGAAAAAAAAAGGGGGCACTCTGCCTTGGGACAGCCTACTCCAATCTGTCTTTGGAACATTTGCTTTGTTAAATAAACTTCTGCTTAAACTGTCAAAAATAAGTAAGTAAACCAAAATATAAAAAGTGAAATGACAGCAAGGCAAAGCCTGGGCAGACTCTCCAGTAGGCAGCCCTCCTGGGAGAGCCAAGGACGCAACCCCCTGCGTGCAGACCAGGCTCTCCTGTGGCTGGGATGAGAGGCCGAAGTCCACACTCTACCAGAGTAAGCCACTGCAGAGATGCCGTCAAGAAAATGGTCGGGAGGGCTCAGGATTTAGCTCAGAGGTAGAGTGCTTGCCTAACAGGTGCAAGGCCCTGAGTTCAGTCCTCAGTTGCAGAAAAAAAGAAAGAAAGGGTTAGGGACAAGGCCAAGGAAGGAAGCTCCTGAGGAAGGCATGGGTCTGTCACATGCAGCTCCTTGGCCTGGGATCTGCTTCCCCAAACTCCTGAACTTGTGGAAAACTGATCCTACAGGCATTGTCACCTGGGCACGTCAGTTATAACATTCACACTAAAGCAAATCGTAACTGTTCAAGACCAACATGGTCCACATGAATTCCAAGCTATATGGTGCGACCCTATCTCAAAAAAAAGAAAGAAAGAAAGAAAGAAAGAAAGAAAGAAAGAAAGAAAGAAAAGAAAAGTAAACCATGACCATGGCTCATGTACTGATCTTCCACTCATCCAGAGGTCCCGAGTTCAATTCCCAGCACCCACATCAGGCAATCTACAACAGTCTGAAACTCCAATGACAAGAGGTGACACCCTTGCTGACCTCCATGGGCACCAAATTTACAAGCACATACCCACAGGCAGAGACACAGACAGACACACACATGCATACACATACAATTAAATAATTCTCGGCTAGAGAGATGGTTCAGTGATTAAGAGCACTGGCTGCTCTTCCAGAGGTGATGAGTTCAATTCCCAGCAACCACATGGTGGCTCACAACCATCTGTAATGAGATCTGGCGCCCTCTTCTGGCCTGCAGGCCCACATACAGACAGAACACTGTACATAATAAATAAATCAAGCTGGAGAGAGGGCTCAGCCATTAAGAGTCCTGAGTTCAATTCCCAGCAACCACATGGTGGCTCACAACCATCCTGCAATAGGATCTGATGCCCTCTGCTGACAAGCAGAGCACAAACAAAAATAAATAAATAAATAAATAAATAAATAAATAAATAAATAAACCTCACGCCTTTAATCCCAGCACTCTGGAGGCAGAGGCAGGCGGATCTCTGACTGCAAGGCCAGCCTGGTCTGCAAAACAAGTTCCAGGACAGCCAGGACTGTTACACAAAGAAACCCTGTCTTGAAAAACCAAAATCACTAAATTGTCTGACAACACACCTGGGAGAGGTGGAGGTGACCTGGGGCCCACTATAAAACAAGGAGACCAACCTCATGGTTTAGTCACACGCAACACTTCAGCTGTCAATCCAGCTGCGCACACAGGTCCACAGGGGACTGCGCGCAACTGCCAAGACATGCTGGCACCTTTAGAACGCAGGCCGGGTTCAGGTTCCAGCTCAGACAGCTCAGAGCTGTGCAGCCCTAGGCAAAGCACTCAAACCGTCCAAGCCCATCTCTGAAGAGAAGATAACAGGAATAGAGTTGGCCGAGGAGAGCACAGCAGGTCACTCCCGCGGGTGGTACCTACCAGGCGAGGGGCAGGCTGCCCTAGAAGCCCACACCTCTTCAGCCACTTGCTTTCATTATGGTCACAGGCTTCCCCTGAAGGGTCACCTCTCCCAGGGGGAGTCAGTCCCATCCCCTCTGTACCTGGCACACTGGCTGCTGCTGGCAGTGCGGGCACTGCAGTGGAGCACAGCAAAGCAAGCTCTAAACAGGCCGTGGGGCCACAGGGAGGGGTCCTACCGTCTGCTGTGGCTCCGTCCAGTTCACCTCGTAGCCATCGAAGGCATGGCTCTGCCAGTTGTTGTTCAGCTCCCGGATGACCATGGCCTCCACCCTCCGGAGAAAGGCAGCAAGTCTGAGGGAGTCCTGCTGCGAAACGGGCGGCACGGCCACTGGCTCAGGAGCCTCCGTCTGAACCTGGGCGTCCGCATGTGTCCGGGCCTGAGCACAGGCCTCTGCTGTGGCAATGCCGGCTGTCTGGCAACTCTTCTGGAAGGAGATTAAAAACAGGGTCATGGACCAGTGAAAAGAAACGATGGGAAAAGTGCTTGCGGCCCAGTCTACGACTTGGATTCAATTCCCAGAACAACCCACAAGGTAGAAAGAGAGAATGAACAGACACCAGGCAGTAGTGGCACACACCTTTAATCCCAGAACTCAGGAGGCAGAGGCAGGCGGATCTCTGACTGCAAGGCCAGCCTGGTCTGCAAAACAAGTTCCAGGACAGCCAGGACTGTTACACAAAGAAACCCTGTCTTGAAAAACCAAAATCACTAAATTGTCTGACAACACACCTGGGAGAGGTGGAGGTGACCTGGGGCCCACTATAAAACAAGGAGACCAACCTCATGGTTTAGTCACACGCAACACTTCAGCTGTCAATCCAGCTGCGCACACAGGTCCACAGGGGACTGCGCGCAACTGCCAAGACATGCTGGCACCTTTAGAACGCAGGCCGGGTTCAGGTTCCAGCTCAGACAGCTCAGAGCTGTGCAGCCCTAGGCAAAGCACTCAAACCGTCCAAGCCCATCTCTGAAGAGAAGATAACAGGAATAGAGTTGGCCGAGGAGAGCACAGCAGGTCACTCCCGCGGGTGGTACCTACCAGGCGAGGGGCAGGCTGCCCTAGAAGCCCACACCTCTTCAGCCACTTGCTTTCATTATGGTCACAGGCTTCCCCTGAAGGGTCACCTCTCCCAGGGGGAGTCAGTCCCATCCCCTCTGTACCTGGCACACTGGCTGCTGCTGGCACTGCGGGCACTGCAGTGGAGCACAGCAAAGCAAGCTCTAAACAGGCCGTGGGGCCACAGGGAGGGGTCCTACCGTCTGCTGTGGCTCCGTCCAGTTCACCTCGTAGCCATCGAAGGCATGGCTCTGCCAGTTGTTGTTCAGCTCCCGGATGACCATGGCCTCCACCCTCCGGAGAAAGGCAGCAAGTCTGAGGGAGTCCTGCTGCGAAACGGGCGGCACGGCCACTGGCTCAGGAGCCTCCGTCTGAACCTGGGCGTCCGCATGTGTCCGGGCCTGAGCACAGGCCTCTGCTGTGGCAATGCCGGCTGTCTGGCAACTCTTCTGGAAGGAGATTAAAAACAGGGTCATGGACCAGTGAAAAGAAACGATGGGAAAAGTGCTTGCGGCCCAGTCTACGACTTGGATTCAATTCCCAGAACAACCCACAAGGTAGAAAGAGAGAATGAACAGACACCAGGCAGTAGTGGCACACACCTTTAATCCCAGAACTCAGGAGGCAGAGGCAGGCAAATCTCTGTGAGTTCGAGGCCAGCCTGGGCTACTGTCCTAGCTTATTCTCTGTTGCAAAATCAACTTGGGATAAAAGGGTTTATTTGGCTTACAGTTAGATTCCATCATTGTCTCAGTCATAACTTTTATTTTTATTTTTTTATTCATTTATTTTGGTTTTGGTTTTTCTTTTCTTTCTTTCTTTTTTTTTTTTTTTTT